ATGGGAAGCGCTGCAATACTTTTGTAAGTGAGAACGTTTATTTTTACAGTAGTGAAGTCATTTGTGAAAACGTTAGTGAAGTGAAGTGGTTGGCGGCTTTGTAAATATTTAATGTTAAGTTAGTGTTGTCGTTTGTGTTGTAAAATATATGTTAACGGTTTTATAAAGTGTCAAATTCACATATAATGGGTATGGTGGAACGCAGTGCCTCCGTACACATGATATGTATACTAACTATGTTTTCGACCCAGAAGAAGGCTTCTTCCCAGAAGCAATGGAGGAGGAAGAAGAGGAGGAGGAAATACAAGACTCTATCCAAGAAGAGTCCTCCGAATTCACACCAGAAGACTAACAATTTTCCGAATAAAAACTTCATTTATACTAAACATCTTCGGGGCTAGAGGGCGCAACGCGCCTGGAAGCCCCACTCACCTGACCTAGATCTATTGATAAAATCATAGCATATTATATCGGTTAAAAAATTGACGAAACGTATTAATTTATATTTTGAATGCAATTGCTATCGAATACCATCAAAATTTTGTTTTATGCAAATTTCAATTAGTGTAATTATGATGACCATATTTTGTCACAAGGTTATATATAAAATAGTATTTTTTGTTATATTTCGAGGTTGCTCTTTATTTCCTAAGCATATTGCTTCAATATAGAACTTGTTTTTTGCCCACATACTATATCTATGCATGCATTCATTATTTTTGTACTTTCACATTTGTTAAATTTAGATCATGTATAATCCACTAAAGGTACATTCACTAGGCGATAACAGTAAAATGGGATGAAAATAGGATAAATAGCACCCCTATATAGTGCCTAACAATATTTATACGGGCCAAAAAAATTTGGCTAGAGATTTGGCGAGTTATAAAACTTAGAAAATTGAGAGGGATTTTTATTTTTGAATTTTTTTTGGAAAGTTAAAATTGCGATTAAAAATCGATTTCCAGGAGAACTAAGCATCTCATCATATATTTAAATCGATAAAAATATTAAATAATAGTTGAATAGTACAACAACGTGAAATTATGGCTGAATCTACAGAAAAAATGAACATATTTGACATTTTTGAAAATTCATACGTTAGATGATGACAGACTCATAAACTATACTTTAGCTAAGATTGATATATGGTTTCAACAACACATGGTTAAAATCGTAAAAATATTTTAGATTTCAAAAAGATATATGGTAATATAATGGAACAAAGTCAACAAATAGCATGTTAAATATGTTATAATTAACTTTTTATTAGATCCAATAGTAATATCGAATGGTTTCCAGCTTTATGGTTAAATATTTTCTTTTCGAGCTTCTCTTTAACTGTTGTATTAAGGTTGTAAATTTTTGATGCTAGAAACTATGGAATCTTCTTTGCTGCTGCATTTTTCTTGAGAGTTCTTGCAATTTCGAATAGATCTGCGCATTGTATGAAATGGAGGCTTTAAAATATCTTGAAAACAGAATAGGACTGCTTTTCCAAAGGAATGCTTACTTGTAAATCAGAGAGTTTCAAAATTGACAGCAAGATTATCATCATAACTTTCGAGTTTGCTGCGAAAAAGGAAGACAAGTAATTAACAAATCATTTACTGTTGTTCATCAAAAGAAGAAAACTTTGATAACAACTAATGATGATAAAATCAAGCTATCTTTTAATATTTTAAATTGATAAGACATTCAAAATATTTGAATGGTTTAAAATATTTTCTTTTAATTTCTATACGATATTATCATGATTATATAATAAAATTTAAATTTTGTTGTAAACAGAAATTCATCAAAAGTGACACATCAGAAAAGCTAAAATATTGAATTTTTGGAACTTTTGATAGAGCACGTTTTTAAATATTAATTAAAGTAAATGTATATTTTGTAAAGATTCTTTTTAATAAAAAAATAAAATTTTGAAGAAGAACACAAAATCTTCTGAAAAATAATATCACATAAACTCATATTATTTTCTAATATATAACTATTTTATATAAAAATCAAATTCAATGATCTTAAAAGCGAAGGATAAACCTCAAAATTTACGAATATAATGAGTGGGAATATAATGCTTATCTATCATAAAACCATATGAAATATCAATTTTTGCTTTACGCCTAATTTTTGACGCCATTAGCAAAAAATGTTAAATGTTAACACTCAGTCCATTTGAATATGAAAAATAAAATTGACTTTGATTAAATGTTTTTATTTATCATGCAATTCTTCTTGCGACCAAAGATTTGAATAAAATTTCAAAAAATAAGATAGCTTAAAAAATAATATATGGTAGTGTTTACTAATAGATGAATAGTATATAAATTCTATTAAAATGGATTTGATCCAAAAAAATATAAAACCAAAAATAATTGTTATACCCAGATTTGCTTTACTTTTACCACCTCTCTAAAGCTGGGGACACCGCCTATCGTTGGGAGTAGCTATTAAATAGAACCACCAAGGGTATTTTTCGAACTGCCGGTGTAGTGGAAACATCCGACATAATGATTCATTATGCCAAGGTTTGATTCCCATTTAGCCAATTTTTTTCTTTTTTGGATCATGAATTTTTTTTGGGTCACTATAAGATTTGTTTCATGTTCTAAATCTGCTGCATATGTAATCTATTTTTATTTACCTATTTTTTAAAAATCTATTGGATTGCCAAATTTGAATATATTTAAAATCATAAAAATCCAAAAAAAACTATAAATATATGTTTTATGCATAGTGCCGATACTCAAATATCAGATTACTTAGATCCATGAATAATATCCGAATTTTTTTTCTTAAAATTAAACTTCAAAACTTCTTCCAATCTTATTCTTAATCAATTGTAAATTTTTAAAACCATTTTTTAAAATAATTTTGCGTAAATTTTATTCTCATGTTGTTTTAATCGAAAATTGATACATTTTCAAAAAATAATATTGACTTATGAAATTCATTTTTAAGGTGAAATAGTATTGTTTTTATTAAAGTATATGAATAATATATAAAAATTAATGAATAATATAAGCAGATTTTTAGTTTACAAAACAAATATGAGCAATGCAATTTCAAACTTTTGCTGGCAATTTCGATATTGCTCAAGTTTGTAGTATTTGTGATACCTATAACATCGGCTTAATCAAAATTCGATTTTTCTTATGAGTTATTGAGAAAATTTGATTGCAATGAGAAGGATTTCGACGTTTTTGATAAACTAAGAGCTGAGCTTTAGGGGTTCAGTTCATTTATGGCTGTAGTTTGATGCGTAGATCTCTTTTTTATTGTAAATTCTTTCAGCATGGAGATCGAGAATGAATCTTTTGAGAACTTTATGAGTTTTTACACCCGTAAAGAGGTCCTTCGAGGAAAGATAGTCCAGACTACATGAAGATGTGGGTTAACCAAAAAAATCCGATGGTTTCCCCATATTCATGTAGATCTTCGAAAAAATGAGCACCAAAAAAGCCAAAAAAATAGGCTTTTTATTGGATTTGTACACTAGATCAATAATCTATTTAGGATCTGACACTCTTTTTAGCCAGAGATATGAGGTCCTTTCTAGGAAAACGATCTATTCATCCATAAAAAAAATGAATTATCGTTTTCCCCAGAAATTACATGGGGAGTGGTAAAAGTAAAGCAAATCTGGGTAATTTAAATGAAGAAGTAATTTAAAACGATTTTATTTATGATCAAATTTTATATATTTTTTGGATCAGATCCATTTTAATAGAATTTATATACTATTCATCTATTAGTAAACACTACCGTATATTATTTTTTAAGCTATCTTATTTTTTGAACTTTTATTCAAATCTTTGGTCGCAAGAAGAATTGCATGATAAATAAAAACATTTAATCAAAGTCAATTTTATTTTTCATATTCAAATGGACTGAGTGTTAACATTTAACATTTTTTGCTAATGGCGTCAAAAATTAGGCGTAAAGCAAAAATTGATATTTCATATGGTTTTATGATAGATAAGCATTATATTCCCACTCATTATATTCGTAAATTTTGAGGTTTATCCTTCGCTTTTAAGATCATTGAATTTGATTTTTATATAAAATAGTTATATATTAGAAAATAATATGAGTTTATGTGATATTATTTTTCAGAAGATTTCATTCTATATGCCTATGAAAAGTACTCTCAAAACTAACTTTTCCTAATTATAATTAAATCTAGAATATTGTATTATGCTTAGTATTATTTCATTTTTCTCATTCAATTTAGAATTTACAAATGTCAAAAAATTGAGGGTTGTCACTTTTGATGAATTTCTGTTTATTACAAATTTTTATTCAAAAAGGCAATATTTCAAACTTTTAATTTCAAAAATCTTAATTCTGCAATAAGTGTATTTAATTGTAGCAAATTTAATGATCCTTCGTCATGCTTAGCAATTTGGAACTCATAAATTAATGATTTCTTCAAGTAAAATTCTGCATTATTTCAAAAGTCAATAATTCTCTAGTAACTTTTCTTCAAACCCTAACCATTATATTATATGTATAATGGAGAATAATTGCAAAGAAAGATAGCCGAATTTACTGGGTAATTCTTGTGATGCGAAATAATTGCAAATTAACACCCAGTTTTAACAGCATCAATCTCTTTTTGCTCTCATTTAAATGCATTCGCACACTTTAATTTTGAAATATAAGAGTTTTGGAAATTATCAAATTTATCTGCTCAAATACTATAGATCTTCATAAGTGTTAATAGAATCATTAGCCTTACATATAGTGTTTAATATAATGATGCACATTATACTGGGATTCATTCCTTATTCATCTAGTTATTATAAGATTTACAACCCCATGAAAATTTAAAATTTTGTCAAAAATAGTGAATGTACCTTTAATCCACTTAATATTGACTCATTTGCCTGAACTGCATTATAATTTCATAGAATTATGGTTTGATGCGCCTTAAGGATTCCTCAATACTATTTCCCGAAAAGTGACGGAGCTCGTTGTAATAAACAAAAGTCCAAATGTCTGATATTGTTGTACCTGATATTGGTGATATTATTAATGGAAAATATCAAGTAACAAAAAGAATCGGCGCTGGTTCATTTGGAGCTATTTATGAAGTGCAAGAATTAGAATCAGGAAAAATGCTCGCTGTAAAACTTGAACGACCAACATCTCCATCTCCACAACTTCAATATGAGCACAGACTATATCAAATTCTTGACGGTGCATATGCAATTCCTCGAGTTTACGATTTCTGGACTGAAGAAAATTGGAGAGGCATGGCTATGGATAGATTAGGTTGTTCACTCGGCTATTATTTCAGAAAATGCGGTAAAATTCTTTCAATGAAGACCACTATAATGTGTGGAATCCAAATGCTTTCAAGATTAGAATATTTACATGAGAGATCATTTATTCACAGAGATATCAAACCAGATAATTTTGTTTTCGGAGTAGGTAAGAATTCTAATTTACTATTTCTTATTGATCTTGGCTTAGCCAAAAAATACAGAGATTTAATTTCTCATGCTCATATCACTTATTCTGAAGATAAAGGACTTGCCGGTACAGCACGTTATGTCTCCATTAATGTTCACTACGGTGTAGAACAATCCTGCCGCGATGATTTGGAATCTGTCGGATATGTTTTAATTTCATTGATAAATGGTACTCTTCCATGGCAAGGAATGGAGGCCTGCAGTAATAACGAGAAGTACGAACTCATCCAACAGTCAAAAGTCAACACAACTCTCGAAACTTTGTGCGAAAACTTACCAAACGAATTTCTCGTATATATGATGAAAGTTCGTTCGCTCCTTTTCGATGAGAGACCTCCATATGCACTATTTAGAGCACTTTTCGCTAAAGTTATGACAGATAATAATTACGCTTACGATTACAAATACGATTGGATTATTCCGAGAGCGCAGAGACTCGATGCAGCATTACGATCAACTCCAGATGTCGGAAAAACTCCAATTTCCGTTCATACGATTAATATCCAAGAAATTGTCGATACAGGCAAGCAAGTCGACTTAATGCAGCCATTACCATTCTATTCGATCCTTACTGATGCGGCTCTTTTCGTTGGATTAAGTCGCAAAGCAGAAAAAGGCGAAGAAAAGAAAGAACAAAAGAAATCGTTCACAGAACAACAGAGTATCTTCCTTCTTGATCCAAGGAAGATAAGGGCACGTCCTGGAATTCTTGAACTTGAATTTCTCCAAAATCCTATTTCTAAATAAACTTGTATGTTATTTTTGTTTATTCATAAATAATTTGTTGTTGTTTTCTTAATGATTTAATAGTTTTCTTAAAATAATTTTTGGATTATTTTCAATGAAATCCAAAAAACATTGATATTCAAAGAGGTATTTTTACTATGTGCGAAGATTCTAAAACAATGTTATTAAGAAATCTAAAGAAAATGTTTGAATAAATTTAAAATCATATGAACATGTAAAGAATTCCTCATACCTTGAGAGTTGTTGAGAAATAATTATTGGCATTCATCTCTTAGTATTTGTGCTTTATTGTAAACATATCACAAATTGTTTGTGAAAATTTAATTCTGAAAATATTTACCAAAATCATGTATTACATCAAAAGGTTTGCCTGTAAATATAATTTTGGCTCTCGCCAAGAAATCACAAATATTCTGAAAATTTCAAGGGGGAAAAATTGTTGGCAAATTTAGCTTCATTATGTCTAAAGATGGAACTCATAGGTGTGAATACAATGAGTTTATTGATCTGTTTGCAGATTACATCTGTGCATTTAAATCACTGTATCAGCTCAAAGTAAGTAGTGAAAACGATGTCAATATGATTTTTCAATTTATCAAATCAAAATTGCTTGAAACGCGCATTTTCTCACCCGAGGCAATGATTTTTTGCATAGGAGACATGACACAATTCAACATTGGTTATTTAAAGTCGTATTTAATGATGGCAAAAATGATTTGCGACGAATATAACATAAAACAAGTTAAAGATGTGACAAATTTGTTTAATTTTTTATTTCAAGAAGAATATGGAGTAGAATTATATCGCAATTTTGATTATTACTATCTATCTGAAGCAACTACAAATGAATTTAAAATCTTTGAAAGTAACACAATTTACAACGCAATTATAAATGACGATATTAAATCATTTATTGCAATCACTGAAATAGATGGTTTTGATGAAAAACAAATTTTAATGATTGAATTAACGAAGATCCCTCCTTGTTTCTTCCCGCGTAAATGGACGCATACGTATCTCTATCCAAATATTAAACAACCATATTTATTACTTGAATTATGTAGTTATCATGGAGCAGTCAATTGTTTTAAGTTTTTAAGAACAAAATTCAATTCTGAAATCACCATAGAATGTCTTGAACTATCATTTATAGGTGGAAATCCAGAAATCATGAATGAATGCTTGAAAAAATTCGAACCAAATGAAAATTGTATGAAATATGCAATTATATCTCACAACATTGATTTTGTAGCATTTTTGATGAACGAATACGGAATTGAAGTCAATTTAGAAGATTGTATTAAATACAAAAACCTTCAGGCATTTTATATATATTTGGATAAAACAAATGATATCGACCATTGCTTTGCTAATTCACTATCATTTCATGATCAAAATCTTTGTAAATATTTGTTTTCACATGGCGTTGATATGTATTCAAAAAATTTAAATAGTGAAACAGTTTTTGTTTACGCAATACGAATTTCTAAAAAGGAAATTATAGAGTTACTATTATTACATGGTTTTGATATCAATACAAAAAATATAAGCGGTGAAACTGCCCTTCATTTAGCATCCAAAATTCATAACACTGAATTGATCAAATATCTTGTTTTGCATGGTTCAGACGTCAATTCAAAAGATAATGACAATAAAACACCACTTCATTATCTATCAAAGTATGATGATATAGAAATTACCAAGTTTCTTATTCTACACGGTGCTGATGTTAATGCAAAAGATAATAAAAATAGATCAATTCTCCATTACGCGGCCGAATATGAAGAGATAGGTTATGGAGGAGAATCATATTTTTATTGTTTTCCTGAAGATAAATGCAAAGAAATATTAGAACTTCTTATTTCGCATGGTGCTGAAGTTGATGCAAAAGATAATGAAGGTAAATCAATTCTTCTATGCGCTACTGAGCATAAATGCAAAGAAAAAATCGAAGTTCTTATTTCGCATGGTGCAGATATGAATACAAAAGATAATGAAGGCAAATCGATTATCCATTATGCAATTGAAAAGAGAGACCAAAAAATAATTAGATATCTGATTTCGGTTGGTATTGATATTGATGTTAGGGATCGTGAAAATAAAACTGGTCTCCATTATGCAGTTAAAGACAATAATAAAGAAGTAATAGAGCTTCTAATTTCACATGGCTCTGATATCAATGCAAAAGATAATGATAGCAAAACTAGTCTTCATCTTGCTGTTGAAAATAATAATATAGAAATAATTGAATTTCTAATTTCACATGGCTCTGATATCAATGCAAAAGACAATGATAGCAAAACTAGTCTTCATCTTGCTGTTGAAAATAATAATATAGAAATAATTGAATTTCTAGTTTCACATGGCTCTGATATCAATGCAAAAGATAATGATAGCAAAACTAGTCTTCACCTTGCTGTTGAAAATAATAATATAGAAATAATTGAATTTCTAGTTTCACATGGCTCTGATATCAATGCAAAAGATGAAAGTGGCCAAGCTCCTCTTTATCTTGCAATCGTTAAAAATTTACAAGAAATCACATATTTCTTAATTGAAAATGGTGCAGATGTCAACTCTAAAGAGAATAATTATGGAGATACGGCTCTTCACTATACAGTATTTAATTGTCATATAGAATGTTTAGCTCTGTTAATTTTGGGTGGTGCAAATGTCAATGCAAAAGATGATTTATTTGGAAATACACCTCTTCATTATGCGGTGCTATTTGACGATCACAAAATAGCAGACATTTTATTATCAGTAGAGGTTAAAGCAGATATTGATGCTAAGAATATGAATGGTCAAACATCTCTTCATCTTGCAGTTGCCAAAAATAATTTAAGAATGGTAGACTTTCTGATAGATCATGGTGCAGATTTAAATTCAAGAGATAACGAAAATAAAACACCACTTCATTATGCAACTCATCTTAATAATCGTGTAATGGTAGACGAACTAATTAGAAATGGTGCAGATGTAAATGCAAAAGATAAAGAAAATAAAACACCACTTCATTATGCAGCTCAATTATATAATAATGAAATTGTAGACACACTAATTAGCTATGATGCAGATTTAAATTCAATTGATTGTAAAGGAATTCCTGCCATTCGTTATTTAAACAGATTTAAATTTGCAAAAAAGAAGAAAAAGGATTGGTTGGAAAATGAATATGAATACGAATGCAGAAAAAGTCTTATTTAAACATATTATTATACGATAATCTATTGAAATATATTTTGATTCTAATAATCACCATATATAGACAGATGAAACTGGGGAAAAAAATATTGTCGACACTCCCTTTTATATTGCAGCATATTTTTATAGTAAAGAAACTGCTACAGTCCTTATTTCACATGATGCAAAAACGAGTGTTCGGTTCTTATTCTTTTATTCACAAGCTAGTAAAATAATGTCATTTTTTTTCACTTTTTTATGATCAAAGAAAGTCAAGTTATTTTCATTGATAATATACCGCATGATGCATGTAATATACCACAGCTATGCCAGCATTTCTCAAAATACGGTAGAATTGTTGGTATTAGCATTTCAGAAAATAAAACTTCAGCTCAGATCATTTACAATACACGGGATGAAGCAAAGAAAGTAGTAAGCTCTACTGAGCCATATGCAAACAATCGATTTGTAAATATTTCGTTTCATTCAAAACCATTTTCTTCAAAAGCTGATTTACGGAACTTTTCTGATTACAAAAGAATCAGAACTGAAACTGCAGAAGTTTGCTCTAAAATTGATTCAGATCTTACAAAATCAGTTCTTAATCGGTTAACAATTTACAAGATTCAGCAATCAGATGAGAAAACACAAATAGAAAAGTTGAAAAATGAAATTGAAATCCTTTACAAGGAAGGTCTTCAATCAATGACAAAAATGGAAAATGCGGAAGGCGAAGAACATGAGAAACTCTATAATCACATATTAGAGATATCGAATCAGCTTCAAGAATTAGAACAGAAACTTTCAAAACTTCAAGAAACTCAAATTCAAATTCAAATTCCAAAATAGAATTTTTTTAAATTCAATATTTATAAATACACAGATCTAGACATGAAACTAATTTACGACATACAATTTTCTATTAAATGAAGGAAATCTAAAATAAAAAACCGAAATTAGAAAGAAACATCAATTTTACTTGAGGATCTGTTCTATATTAGTTCAAGTAGATTACCTTGCTCTTACTGTTTCAGTGTTTTCCAATTCTGAATTAATAAATTTTCAATAAGTTAAAAATTCCATTATGAATTATATAAAAACGCTAAAGATAAAAGAGAAAATGTTTGTTAATAACATATATTAAAGATTTTTTTGTTATAATTTAAAAAAATTTAAAAAGTTTTTTTTTCTAATAAGAACAAGTATTCTAAACCTGTTCGGTAATGCTAAATCTAGTTTATTCCTGGTTGATTCCCTCAAGGATGGATGGGCGGACACCCTCACGAGCTGGAAGGCTGATGAGTGGGTGTTCATTCTCACCGATGACGAAAACGTTCATGATACGTGTGGCGAAGACAGCGCCAGATGTATCCTTAAGGTGGACGATATCGAAGGAAGCCATTTGCTTCTCGATCTTCTGGATTGTTCCGACACGGCCGACGTTACCACCAGCTGTAACCATGGCAACATCACCAACCTTGAACTTGATAACAGACTCGACTTCGCCTGTCTTGATGTTGAACTTGAGAGCATCATGGACGCGGACGGATGGGTCAACATAGGAGATTGTACGGCCATCGTGTGTAACAACGTGTGGGATACCCTTGGCACCAATCTTGAACTGGTTGACACGGAGAAGCTTGAAGGAGGCTTCCTTAGCTTCGATGTGGTGGACGCAGAAACGGCCCTTGCAGTCGTAGATGATACGGAAGAGTTCGTTGGACTTGCCGAGCTCGATGACATCCATCAAACCTGTTGGATAACGGTAGTTTGTGCGAACCTTGCCATCGACCTTGACGAGGCGGCGCTTGACGATAGCGACGGCTTCCTTAGCTGTAAGAGCGTATTTAAGGCGGTCGCGAAGGAAGATGTTGATTGGAAGGCATTCACGGAGTTTGTGTGGACCTGTGGATGGGTGGGAAGCGAACTTACCAGCGGACTTAGCAAGAAGCCAGTGGTGTGGGGCTGTAAGGCGTTTAAGATGGAAGCGTTGGCAGCGAGGCATTTAGTTTTCCAAAAAAGGACCAGCCACGACGATTAATTTTCATTCAATTTATTATCTGTCAATGTAAACTATAAAATTTGACAGTCTTCTTAATTTTATTAAATTTTTGACAAAAAAACCGAAACCAAAGATGATTTTAGCATTTTTCTTTTTATTTACTTCCTCTTCTTTATTAAAAGATAGGCAAGTAAATGTTACTCTTGATGGTTCTTGGCCAGATACTCCAATTCTTGCCGAAGCTGCAGCATTTATTGCTGATGCAAACGGAGAAGCGTATTGGACTTTCATTAATGGCCTCCAGAAAGTTGAAAAATACCCAGAAACCATCGAAGAAATCAAAAATTATGCTTTAAACTTTTTAACAGAAGAACTTCGAGCATTACTTGAATTATCTTTGCTCACAAGAGCTTATAGTCCAAGAATCGAGATGTTTCGTGAAATACTCCGAAATCATACTAAAGATATGAACAAATTAGCCGCTTTTTACGCTGATAAATTATATTATACTCAAGAAGATCTCAAAAATGCAATTGAAGAATCTCCAAAAAGTCGTCCTTTAGTCTACTCATACGAACCACGTAATGGAAACTTACGTGACACAATTATTTTGTATTCTCTGATCAATGATTCAGCATTATTCAGTTGGATACAGTTTCTCGAAGATCAGGAAGAAAGCGTCAGCTTTATTTACCGTCCAGTAGGCGAATTTACCACTACTCCAGTTAAATTCCGCGGATATGGATTCGAAATGCGTCCTTTCAACTATACAATGACATATTCTAAGGAGTCAGACGAAAACATTATCCATGGTGAAGAGACGCCAGACACAGAGCTCTTCATTAACAAGAAAATTGTTCCTGGACCAAATGTTCCTAAAGCAATGGACTTGGCAACCCAATTAATACAATTCGTTAAGACTACTGATGATCCTTTCAAGTCGTTACTTGAAGTTTGCGAGAATTTCCCGTTATATGCTGATAATATCTCAAGAATTCCAGCCGCAAAATCACTTCGCGACAAGATTTTCGACAGATTAGAGAACATTATATCAGGTGCTTCTGCAATTTACGTAAATAACCGCGTAGTTCTCAATCCAGACGTATATCATATTTTACAAGCGTCACTTGATGAACTTAGAATAGCACAGATGTTACGAGAATACTTTACTTTGACTCCTGAAGCCCATAACAAGAGTCTTTCCTTGATACAACGCACTCGACCGCCAAAAAGAGTAATTGTCGACTACCAAAGTGACTTTATCTTCAATTTAAACGATATTGAGACAGGTAAGATCTACGAGAACTGGACAACGGACCTTTCCAGCCTCAGAACGACCAATCCCCAGAATATTAAGCGAAACATCTTCAACGCCGTCTTCTTTATTGACCCGTTGAACCCATACGACATGAAAACATTGAAATTCATGGACAACCAGACCCGTCTTCGCGCTCCAATCCGCTGGGGATACTTTGTTCAGCCGAGATCAACAAATAAGTTGTCAAAAAGAGTCATGAACGCATGGTCACATATCAGACTACGCCATGGATTCAGACAAGCCCATCAATTCCTTCTCGACGCCGCTAAAGAAATGGTAGATGAAGAAGATGAACCAAGAATTGCACATTTCAATGCCGCTTTAGCCAAAATGGGCAAGAAGAAGACACTTACTGACTTCGATAAGTTCGATGCGCAGAGTAGAGAGAAGAAATACCTGAAAAAGATGAAGAATTTCCAAGAAAGACTCGGTATCCATGAACAAGGCTGTTTATTCAATGGCAGATTCTATCCAGGAGAAAGCCAAGAAGAAAACATCGTCCAGTTCATGCGAGATTCTCTAAAAAGACTCCGTAAAAAGATGGCAGAAAAAATTCTGAAAAATTCATCGATAGAAACCGTTTCAGGAATTTTGACAGGTGATGATGTTTTCAACAGGTACAATCCATTGATACAACACACCGACAAATCGCCATGCGAGTTCATTCCTTTGATCAGCCAATCCTTCTATTTCCAGCGAGAATTCATGGAATGGTCGAAGAAAATCAGATACAACCAAGAACCACAAAAAGTGAAGTTCAATACGATATGGGTTTTCGTTGGCGAAGAATTGACAGGAAGTTTAGAATCCAAGCACATTGCATTCCAAACAGAGGAATGGCTGAAACAAGGAATCCCTCAGAACACGAGATTGGCATTTTTCTCTGAAACAACAACATCAAACATTATAAGGAATTCTATGCCTCCTCCTTTTGTCCAAGATCTTTTGAAGTTGCAGCCTGATGAAGTAACAGTTGTAATGAATGGAAGAGTGTTGAGAATGAAATCGAGAATGATCTTTAATTGGCATCTCGAAGACTTCAATGTTTTGATCAAATGGGAATATCATTATTCTGTTTCGATGATACAAAGTTATTTCAGTGAAGATGTTGCTTTGAACTACGAAATGCTTGGAAATCAAGTGGATGATGTAAACACTGAATTCCATTCACAACTTGCCTTTTATTTCTCTTTGATTTACGGTATGGCAAGTCACACAAGAATCTCAAGATATCCATCAGATAACAGAGTTTTCAAACCATCAAATCCTGCAGTTATGAACTATGATAACCCTGATTCTTTCGTTCATTACGCCATCATGTTAAACCCCTTCGAATTGCCTTTCCAAGCCATTGCTCCCATTGTCCAATTTCTCAGGAATTCAAAGGCTTTCGATGTGAAAATCATGATCAACTTCCCAACGAAAGACATCGACCAATTCCCTCCTAATTTAAGAGCTTATCATAGATTCCTTTTATACGATGATTCAATACAATTCGACAGATTTGAATCGCAAACTGTTTATTCATTGATGCCACATCCTCCTTATAATTGGATGGTTGAACCTGTTTCAGCTCCTTTCGATTTAGATAACTTTAGACCGAGAGAAGTTAATCCAGGAACAACATGTTCCAGTTACAGATTGACATCGATTCTGTTGGAAGGATCAGCATTGGATGAACAGTATATTCCTGTCCATGGATTGAGAATTACTTTGGATATGGATAAGAAGGGTTTCCATGATTCTTTGTCCATCAAAACAATGGGATATTTCCAATTGAAGACACAACCAGGTATCTGGGAAATATCTCTTGGAGAAGGACCATCGAGAACTGTTTATAACATCAGTTCTCGCAACCAATTCTCTATTTCTAGTTTCGTTCCTCCGTGGATGACAATGAGAGTTAATCACAATGATGGAATGAGTAGATATACTATTTACGAACTTCCTAAGAACTTGAAATTGTCAATGTCAAATGATACAGAAACAGTGAATGTTTTCGCAGTTGTTTCTGGTTATTTGTATGAACATTTAGTCAAAATCATGATGATTTCTGCAATTAAAAACACAAAGAATCCAATACATTTCTGGTTCTTGAAGAACTTCATTTCTTCGCAGTTTATGAACGATTTACCGAAATTTGCGAAGAAATACAACTTCAAGTACAGTTTTGTTGAATACAACTGGCCAAGTTTCGTTGTCCATCAAAGCGAAAGACAAAGAATCATTTGGGGAAATAAAATTTTGTTCTTCGATGCTTTGTTCCCTATGAACATTTCTCGAATGATTTATATCGATGCCGATGCAGTTGTAAGAGGAGATTTAAGTGAACTAATGAAGATAGACTTGAAAGGATGTCCTTATGGATTTGTTCCTATGGGAATGAGTCGAAAAGAAATGAAGAAATATCATTTCTGGACAACAGGATATTGGAAGAACCACTTGAGAGGCAAGAAATACCATATTTCTGCTATGTTTGTTGTTGATTTGGACAGGTTCAGAAGAATGGGAGGTGGTGATAAACTGAGAAAACACTACTCACAAATTGTAGGAAATACAAAATCTTTGGCAAACTTGGATCAAGATTTGCCAAATGATGCTCAAGATGAAGTTCCTATAATGAGTTTGCCAAAGAAATATTTGTGGTGCTGCACTTGGTGCTCTGAGAAAGAAAAGGATAAGGCAATAATCATCGATTTGGCAAATAATCCAAAGACAAAAATGTCAAAAGTTGACATGGCCAAGAAGTTCATCGAAGAATGGCCACTTTTGGATGATGAAGTCAAACATATCGATGACCCTGATTATTTCTGTTCTTATGATTTGAAGAAAATAAGACAAGAACATACAGAAAAGGTACAAAAAGCTATAGCAGAAGTACGTGCGAAAAAGCTTGCTGCTCAGCAAGAAAAGAAGAAGAAAGCTGGCGTAGAAGATGATGATGAATTGTAAAAAATTATAATTTTTTTAATTTTTTTTAATTTATATTTTATTTATTGATTGACTTGTTGAAGTGTTAATTTAGTGTTATTTTGACTATCATTTATTACTTAATATTAACATTTCCTATGAGTATGTTATGCGTTCCATTTCTGAAAGTGGAAACTGCATATTTTCTGAGGTGGAAACAGGAGATTTTCTGAGAGGGACAAATTTTTTTGAGAGTCACTTTTTGAATATTTAGCATAACCTCTCATTTGATCATATCTTGTTTCGAAATAAAATCAATTAAAATTGATAAGAAAATTGACAATTTTACCTCCCAGAGTCAAGGTAAGTCAATTCTATGAAAAATTTCAAAGCCGTTATTTTTGAGAGCTAAGAATTATGTTTGCCACAATTTCGTTTTCAAGTTGATTGAAATAGAATTTCAATCATACTTTCTTAAATGCTCCCAATTTTTTTCCTATATATAATATATATGTTTTTATTTCTTAAATTTTAAAGTATCCGTTTCCTTAAAACTGGAGCTTACTGAGACCTTAAATTTGAAAATTCGATGCTATTGTATTTCCCAATTTCGATATTTTATCGATAAAATAAAAATTTCAAAAATATTCTTATCGAAAATAGGCTATTGATTTTTAAAAAAATAGCATTATGCATTTAAGAAATGAAAAATATTGATTTGTTTCAGCTCCATCTTAATTATTAGATGAAAATATGATAATATCGTTTCAAACTATGACATAACATTTCAAAGCTACAGTATCTGATATTGCCTTAATTATTTTTGCCCAATATCACTTCGAATTATATCTTGGATTTTTCAAATTGTGGAAAAAAAATTGAAATGTGGGAAAAAAAATTTAAACAGTGGAAAAAAATTGAATTGTGTATAAAACGAGTGTAGTAGCAATTGCTAGTTTTTTTTTTATAACTATGCTATTGTTCAAAATTAATGGGCTTGGTTTGTCCATGTTAATGATAACTCAAACAATAAATTATGACATATATCAATTAGCTATTTGGAATCCTTTATCTGATTCATTAGAAATAAGATTAAACAAAATACAAAAAAATAAAAATGCATTTATATCATAAATAGTTATTTGTAATGAATAAAAAATCTTCTATTGTTAGAATAGAAATGATTGAACATTCGAAATTAAAATTAATATATTTATGCATAGAGTTTGTAGCTTAATAACATAAATCCGCGATAATAAAAGCAAGCAAATCATCCATTTTCATCTATCATATAATAGTTTAAACAATTTTATAAACTTTCAAAGCCCTCGAAAAATGTATTAAAAACATTGTTGAATATCAGTGAAACAATAATCGTCGTCTGTGAATAATGATTCATTAAGTTGTTCGTTTGTGCATGACCATGTTTCACCTTCAACTTTTAATTTAAGACTTTCGAGATTACAAGTGAATAAATCTGCTTGTCGTTCATCTTTCGATGTTTTATTTTCATCTTTGAATGTTTTATTATCTTTTATGGAAGAAATAATAGGAATAGGAAACTTCTTATTTTCTGAAATCGGATAACCAGTTAACGGGGATGAAGACGAAGAATAAAAACCGAAGCGATTTCTATCTCTTTCCATTTCATGGCGTTTTCTTGGGGGTTTCTTTTCTAAAACAAGAAGACCTTTTTCGTTGCACTCATAGATTTCTGCTGAGGAGTTTTCAAAATCCCAGATAATACGCAGCATCTTTCCTCTCATTATTCAAAGTATAGACTAAGAAAGAAATCTGTCAAACAAATTAAATCACTAAGTCAGAAAAAAAAATGGCTCACCGCTATAGTTTACAACTATTCAAATTTTATCTTTTTGCTTTAAAAATGGTATAACAACAAAGAATTGGCGACCAATATTATGAAATATATAATCAATGATATATTGCCATCTAATGCGCAAATTTTCGAAAAAAGTATTCAAATATCTAATGTTGTTGACTTTTTTCAATAATGAAGATATAGACTCTTAATCATATTTAAACATATTATTTCAATAAAAAATGAACATCGGATGGACTAATTTTGAGAAATCTTGATCAGCGGGCTCTCAGTGGAAACTCCTTTGTTTAAGGTTTTGATCAAGAAATTTTTGTTTAAGCCATGTGTTGTCTTCCTAAAATTTTTGAATATTTGTCTTTGTAGAAATGAAATTCCAGCATTCCTATCCTAAAAAAATTCATCATAAAATCAAAATGAAGTTAAATGTGATAATTACCATTAAGCGATTTCTTGTATTATTTTGAAAGTGAATTTCATGTATGTAAAATTGAATCATCCCTCAATTTTCTTTAGCATTCCTAACGATTCCGTTAAATTTTTCAAAGAAGATTTTTGTTTATCTTTATCATGTGAGCTAAATTTATCTTTCAAAATAAATTTTGAGTCATCCTTTTTGAATCGAATTTAAAATCATCGAATTTGTTGATCTTCTGTCGATGATTATTTCTCATTGCATGTTTTTTTCATAATTGAAAATTATAAAAAAGAAATGATTCCTAGCGACATGCCTGCTAACATCTTAGAGCTTGTTAAAGCTCTTCCAGAGTATGTCCGCGAAGAATCTGATTATGATTGCGACAGTATACTCGGAAAAGGTGGTTTTGGCGAAGTCTGGCACGCAGTTGACAAAAAATCAAAGAAAGAATGTGCTGTAAAGAAGTTATTTGCAACAACTTTTGATGCCAAACTCCAAAGGCTATACATTCAGGAGATATTTATGACCGCTTGCTGTCAAGATGAAAGCGTTATTAGATTAATGGGATTCACAGTTAAGAAACCGTTTTGTATAATTACTCAATATCAAAAGAATGGATCATTACAAGACTATGTGTATCCAGGAATGAAGTTCTTTAACTCAATGCAACCGAATCATCTTACAATGGTCGCAATGCAAATGGCAAGAGGCCTTCACAAGTGCCAAAAGCAAAATATTGTACATCGAGATATCAAGCCAGGTAACGTTTTAATTGATGAAAAGTTCATGCCAATTATTTGTGATTTTGGTATAGCTGGAATTATTGATTTTGAACATCCGATGACTAGAAGGTGTGGAACTCTTGCTTATATGGCTCCTGAACTATACAATTCGAAATTTTACGATACTTACGCTGATGTATTTTCATATGGCATCATTTTATACGAAATGTCAGAGAAAAAGCATGCTTATGACGGAGAAACTCGAGAATCAATGAAAGCAATTCTCAAAGATGGCCATGTCAGGCCAAAATTTTCAAATAAAACTCCAGAAAAAATGAGAGAATTAATTGAGAGATGTTGGGACTTTAATCCCGACAATCGTCCATCATTTGGTCAAATCTACAAAATGTTTGCTGAAGGAAAGGTCGGATTCGAAGGATATGACAAACATAAAATGAAAGTTCTCGCAAAACAACTTAACGCACTCAGACGTCATCCTCATAAGCCAAAACAACGATGCGACTTAAATTCTACGATAAATTACGTTCAAAAAACTTATGCTGATGTTATTGCTCATCCTGAGCAATTTAACACAGAAGACTCAGATAAAAAGAAGAAGAAATCAAAGGATGATGATGACAAGCCCGAAAACAAAGAAGAATCTGATAATAATAAGCAAAATTCTGAAGAAGTTGTTTCAACTCCAAAACCAGAGATTTCAGTACAACCAAAGAACAGACTTAACATTAACATCTTGAAAGACCCAGCAAATCCACAATTTTTCGAGCATTTACATGAAATTTCAACAACTATCCAAGACAACGAAATACTTCCATTTGTGAGTACCACATTCCCTATTATGCAGAATTCCCAGTCCGAATACCTCACTTCCCATATCCAAGTCGCGTATTGTGAAGGAATGACGACAAATGACAAGTTTATCAAGTTTATGAATGAAAAGAACTTGATTGCGAACCTCCCTATGAAGTCTCCTTTGATCGTAAGTCATTCTTTCAACATTTTCGCCATATTTTTATCGCGAGGATTCGAAATTGTCACTGACCAGTATGCGGATTGGGTCAATTTCTACTTGCAGAAGGTCAACCCTGAAGGAACATTAAACGCAGTATCTGCTTTGTTCTCAAAACTCAACGGAAACTTCACAAAAGTGACAAAAATTTTTTCTGTTTTTGTTTTGAATGGTCCAATGTTTTTCAACCTTCCATGTGCAAGTAATTATATTTCTTTCTTGTTCTACGTACTACAGATCTCAGAACAAGAGCAAAATATCCATTTACCAACATTGAAAAATTATTTGATGCATTATCTGAGAAGTGAGAAAATGAAAATGGTTGGAATAGCCTATACAGGCCTTTCCTACCTCTACGATGGCTTATTCCCTCTTGATTTCCAGTTAATGGAGCTTCATTCCAAAAATCCAGCGGCGCAAAATGGAATTACGGGTCTTTTGATCAGATTGCAAGACAATATATTCCAAATACCCAACATTTTCAACATTCTCCTTAATTGTTCTGAGTCATCTTCAAAATCTTTGTCTCTTTTGATGGAATATGTGACAAGATTCCCAGAAACAGCAACAAGACTGAGTGTTAATTCAACGTGGTTCATCAAAGGATTGCCAAATGCTGGAGGAACACTGAGATTGGCGATGTTTGGATTTTTACATCCGAAAATGCGAGTTCCTTTCTTGCAAAATTCATTATTGGGATTGTTATTCTCATTCCTCGCAAGTCATCCTGATAATTGGATACTGGGTTCCTTATATTTCCTCATAATAAACATGAAAGCTGATGCAAAAATTTTGACACAATTTCAGAAGAACAATTTTCTCTCAAAATTTGTGTCAAATTTGTCAAAATTGACAGACATGGAATCAGCCACATCTGCATGTTTATTGCTTGAATACTCTGCTAAATTGATAAAGATTCCTGACCCTGACATTGTTGTTGATTCGATCATTCACATGATGAAACAATTTCCACCAATTATTGGTCTTTGCGCGAGAGTTTTGATGAATTTGTCTGCAATAATAGAAATGAAACCAGTGATGAAGATGAAGAACTTGCAAGTCTTCTTCCAGAAATTGTCTTCTGACCAAAATTACGGTGAAATAAGTCGCACCGCAATTGCAAATCTAAGTTAACTTTGTTTTATATATTTTAAATATATATGTTTATTTGTTTGTTGTAAAAATAAAAGGTTTTATAATAAAGGTAGTTTTTTAAGGGTCCTGTTTGGAGTGAAATCTTCTAGGTAAAAAATAAAGCGTTTCAAATTGGTTCGAGTTGCTTAGTTTACAAAAATGTATGATTATACCCCCTGAGTCTTCTTCCTGAGATATTTTGGAACAGTGAAAAGATAGAGTATGATGAGTATATGCTAGAATTATGTTTATTCATATAAATATCAATTCTTTTCAGAGAAAAAAGTATATTTAAGTGCAAAAAAATTGAATAGTTGTAAACTTATGCAGTGCTCCCTTATGGAATGTTGGAAATAAAATGTTCCACGCTCTATGGATTATAGATAGATATTATAAATTTATGTGGAACATTTTGTCTCCAATTATCTGGTAAATATATGTATTCTACTCTAAAATTTAGTGTGGAGGATCTAGAAAATTTGAAATAAGTTGTTTGCAATGATTAAGGTTTTTTTAGCCATTTTGCATTAGCATATCCCGTGTAAACAGCTTGTTTTAGTTAATCTAAGTTTTATTTGGCCATTTTATTAGATATTTAAGTAATGAAATCAAAAATTTTCATGCGCATACTTAATATCCAGATTTTACCCTAAATTTATTATTTCTTATGCATTGATAGATTTTGTGTATAGTCAGAATTGGATTTGTAAATAAAATCAAATTCAAAGAAATCCAATAAAGTAAATTTTTTGGTTTTTCCATGGAATTGCAATACAACATATGTTCCTAGTTGAGACAAATGCTATTTGCTTTATTTGGAGGTAGCAAACTAATGAAAGATTCGAATACCTGAATTTAAACAAGAAGAGTTTTGGATATCAACATATATGTATTTCATAAACGTATTGTTACTGTAAAATGTCGAAAATAAAGAATTTGACAAGAAAATTTTCCATTGATTTGTTGAGATTTCATGCAAAATGAAAATTATGAATATAATTATATTCTATTCAGTGAATGGTTGAATATATTAGATCAGGAAAAATAGATATTTGGGAAATAAAAAATTTGCAAAAAAAGCTTTGGAAAAAAATTTAAAAGATAAATATTAATGCATTTTTATTTTGTAATAGTTTTATGCTGATTTCACGAAAAATTAAATAATTTTGAAATCGTCAGTAAAATTAATATAAATAATGCGATAAGGCAATGATGAATATGTAAAGCAAGAGAACTATACAAAAAGAAAGAGAATGTTGTAAAGCCAAGAATGATATGATTTGTAATAAAACTCTGAAGATCTTATTAATATCGAATTCATGATTAAATAAAAAAGAAGCTACTTCAAAGACTCCATAATACATATATTCAGCAATTGATTCATGATCTTGTTTAAAATTTATTTGAAGATATTCAGCAATTTCGTAATTTCGATAAATTAATGCTATGTTAATCATATTATCAAATGATTGACTATCGTCAACCATTTGAGAAAATATGTTTTGATTTCCTGCTTGCAGAGCATATTTTGCAGATTCTTCAGTATATATGGCACCTTCATTCCTCAAGTAGTTAAAGCACAGTTCAGATCCAAATTTGCAAGCGCAATCAAGTGGTGTGATTATATTGGCATTTTCTGGGTTTATTTCGAGTGTAGGAAATTTGGTTTTAAGCTCATCAATCTTGTCCCAAGCAATGTAGTATAAAGGTGATTCTTTATCATATAAGTTGATTATTTCTTCTTCATTCATTTGAGGTTTGAAGTTATCAAATTTGAATCCTTTATTGAATAATAATGTTGCTAATTTTCCATTCATTGGTTTGACTATGCATGAAAATTCATTTAAAATTCTTTGATAAAGTCCTGTATATGAAGAAATATACTTGACTCGGAGAGTTGATATATTATCAATTAAGAAAAGTACCATTTGAATCGAGATTTTTTTGCCAGTAATTAGATTTACTATTTGTGATGAGGATTCTGCAAGATTGCTAGGATTTATATCCCAAATAATTTTTGAAACTTGATTAGGATATTCAAACACTTCAATTGGCTTTGGTTCCAAAAAAAGTTCTTCCATAACAGAAAATATATAGTCGGTTTTCTGATCAGGGGAAAAAATATTTCAATAATTAACCTTAAATATCAGATTTCATCTTTTAAGGATGTCGGAACTGCCAAAAGCGCAAATTTTGTTCATCACGAATTGCCAAGCTTGGCAATTCTTGGATGAGCGAAGTTTTCAAAAAAATTAGTAAATTTTGCATTATTTAAGTCTGAAAGAAGCAAAAGAATGCTATATTTTAGTTTCTATATATTTTTGAAATAAAATGGTGGCATTATTAATGATTTTTAGAAATTTGATATTTGAAATTGAATCATTTGATATTTTTACCGAAGGATTTATGTTTTTTGTGATGTTGTGTATTATGTTATAGTGAAACTAGAGATACTCAATGTAAACTCTTTTTAAAATAACGTACAATTGCCAAGGCAATTTTGGTTTTGGCAATTGTACGTTATTTTTTTCGCAGCGATTTGAGTGAATTGCCAAACCTTAAACTTTCTTGGCAATTGTACGTTATTGAGAATTGCCCAATTGCCATAAGCTTCAAGAAAGCTGAAACAATGACACTGAAACATATTTAACTACACGTAAAATCAAATCAGGCTCATTTATTAAAAATGCAAAATATTTATACTTATTGTTTCGTTTAGTCAACACGAATTTAAGCCTAATTCTTTCTCACGTCTGAGATGGCCTTCTTACATGAATTATTATGTAAATTTTTGATTATTTTGGAATAATATTAATCATTTGAACTGTTTTGTGGAGTTCTTTTGTGAATACTATACATTTGTTGAACTAATGTTCAATTCTCAATAATATAATGCATTTCTGTTATTATATTTCCAATAATTTTTTAAAATATTTTTTTAACTGCTCACAAAATATAGCAGAGGACTCTCATCAAAATGAACAGAGAGTGAATTATTTTTCACAAAAAAATTAAAATACAAAAAAATTAAAAATAAAATGAAGAAAAAGGAGAAAAAAAATAGGTTCTAAAACTAAATACATATAACTATGATATGTGTATCTTATTGGGCGAAATTGGCGTCCGAAGGGCGCCAATTTCGCCGGGAATTTTTTAAGAATTGCCAAAATGACCTCAGAATTGCCAAGTCGGCATCCTTACATCTTTTTAAAGATTAGCTCTGAAGACTAAAATAAAGTTTTTTTTTCATTTATGAATAAGAAGTTATTTTGAAATGCATTCCTCTAATAGAAACCATAAAAAACAAATAGGGTATTCTTGATGTTTTTTGCAAGAAAATTATTATATGTATTGATCATATTTTTAATTTTTCATAAATTGATATTAAATTCACCTTTTAAATGTAAATTCTATCATGATAACATTATTAAATCAATTGAATACATTTTTCATGGTTAGAATGTTCATAAAATCTACGAAGATTTTGATTTTTATTATTTGAATGAGAAATAATCGTTTTGTCAAAAATGAGTGAAAAACCCATGAGTATCGAATTTGTCAATAAAAAATGCGGTGAGAGAATCACAAGCTTAGTTAACACACTAAAAGGATCATTTCCTGACAAATACGAAGTTGTAAAATCTGTTGAAGCAGATAAAATACTTAATAAGTTGGAAGATTCACCAGGAGAAGTATTTAAACCAATACTATCGGCAGATTTTCCGGCCTTAGAAACAAAGTTACAGAAATTTGACTTGCCATTGCATTCTTGTAGCAAATACAATTATTATTTTACGCCAACAGTACCTAAAAATTTACTTGATGAAGCTCCAAACGATTTTACTCACGAAAAAATGGAAGTTCTTTCAGAATCACGTCAAGAACACCAAAGATTACTTTGGATTTATCAAGATCGAATTACATATGAGCATAGCTCTCATTCAAACTCTACATTTCATTCACCATTCAAAAGTGCAATAGATTTTATCGCTAAACAGCACGATTTACCGAAGATTCCAGTGCCTGAAGCAGATCCTGGAATTGTTCAAGAAAAGGTTGACGCTCAAAGGCGTAGGATGCAATCTTTATCAAGCCATGTTATAAACAAGCAGAAAATGCTAGCAAAGATGATAAAAGATCGTGAACTGTTTCAACACGAATATTCTAACATTCTTGATGAACAAAAGAAACCTGTTAATGAACTTCAGATACCATTTCCTTTTGCAAAACTATTTGACGAAGATTCCAAAAAATAATTTTGCAAATTAAAAAAAAATGATGTTCTTATTTGCCACATCCGTGAATTATATTGTTGTTTGTTAATTTAATAAAAATATAGATTAATTAGAAAATTTTATAAAACATAGAATAAAATATAGACAGCTTATATGACAAGCATTTGGGGAACTAGTTTTAACAACAGAAAGTATGAAACTATCTCTTTCAGTTTCAAATGATTATCTCAAAAACTATATACTGCATATGATAATAGGCTAAAGCATTATAATAATAGCAAATAATGAATGTCAATGAGTATCAAGCATTAGAACTTGTGAAAAAAAATATTATTATTCATTAAGTCCAAAAATAAGAATAAAGTTGAATTAAAATGGTTTGCATTTAAGACTCAATATTAAATAATATAATAAAAAGAATTTTAAAAATTGAAGGTCTATAAGGGCAAGCAATATTCGAGCATTTTTTGTCAATAAAAGGATAGAAATCAAGCCATGAAATATATAATCCGTGATTATTTGCACCATCGGCAAGATCTAAAGATCGAAGACGAAAAAATCGGAAGTATCTTGGCTTATCAAATGTATATTCAGCGATTTGAATAGTATCTGATATTCGTGTTGAATTATATTCTTGAAATAATGTTGAATAATTAGTTCCATCTTCCGAAAAATCTAAGGAATATGATGGCCTACGTTTACTCCATCTATATCCAGTGCCGGTATTTGTTCCTCGCATTATCATTCCTTGGATTAAGTACGGCTTCTTGAAATCAATTTGTAGATAATCCCCTGGATTTGTAAATAATGACCAATAATTTGATAATTTTCATTTGTGTGATCATATTTAAATTGTTTTTGAGAAATTGTAATGGCATCTATTTCAAGCCTCGGGCCATAGATCTGAAGAAGTTGTTTGCAAATTGCAAACTCTCGATAGTCTCTTATGTAATTTTATTGAACAATGTTTCTTTGAATTATGTCAAAAAAAAATTGAATTCTGCGGACCGTTCTTTTATTCAAAATCCTGACCTTTTGATCATTGGAGGAGGACCAAGTGGATACGCAGCCGCCATTCATGCTGCTAAACTTGGATTTAAAAATAGCTGGTGCTAATTAAGAAGCCTATTATTATTGGTTCGCTTAATATAAATTTTAGCATAGATAACTTGAATTACACTCACATCATCAAATTTTCCATTTCATTTATCATTCAACTATGAATTGGTATATTTTCCAAGTCTATGGATATATTGTTATATGAGAGAGTTGAAAGTAATATCTATTCAAAAAAAACTTAAGATCTCAATTTGTTTGAATGGATATTTGGCTACATCGCCATGAAAACAGATAGTTATTTCGGATCAATATTAATTTGACAATATGTATATTTATGTAAATATATTATATTTAGCATTCAAAAAAATCTAAATAAGCAATGGATGCTTGGTCAGATTATCTTTGAAATTTCATTTCACAAGTGAAGTGAAAAATCAAACATTATCATGATTACGGGAATAAGCAAGGTATTTAGTACTGTAAAGAGAGGAACACAGAAGCCATTGATGCTTGCAGGAAAGTTTTATAATCACTCAGATCCAGAACTTGTTAACGAACGTGAAATTTCTAAAATGATTTGTAACGAATACAATAAAACACAAGTTGATGAAGTTGATAAACGAAGGAACTTATTAAAGATTCTATTTAAGGAAGACACTGATGTTTATATCAATCCTCCTTTCTTTTGTGATTATGGCTCAAATATCAAATTTGGAAAAGAGTGTTATTACAATTACAATTGCACCATTCTTGATGTCAACAAAGTTGAATTCGGAGATGGTGTTTTAGTTGCACCAAATGTTTCATTTTATAGTGCAACACATCCTATTGATCCAAAATTGAGAAAAGAAGGAAAAGAATATGGCCTTCCAATAAAAATTGGTAACAATGTTTGGATTGGAGGAAGTTCTGTTATTTGTCCTGGTGTTTCAATTGGCGATAATTCAGTTATCGGAGCAGGTTCTGTTGTTGTCAAAGATATTCCTGCAAATTCAGTTGCAGTAGGAAATCCTGCAAGAGTTATAAAGAAATTAGAAGTTTCAAATGAGTAAAAAATAAAATATTCACTACCATAATAATCAATCAAACCATTTACTATTTTCTGAGAATTGTAATCACATTTCATCTTAATAATATATATCAGTTATTGGGGAAAACTGTGCCACTCAAATGACTTTGATGTTTTAGGTTTATTTATTTTCTATCTTTTTCTTATGAATTTTCTATGATAAATTAATTTATAATCATGTCTGATCCTGTCAAATTGTCATATGGAGTTATTGTTTTTTATAAAAGATGAATTCCAAAACATAAATGATATTAAAAATTGAATTAAATGAAAACAGACATATTTTCTCTTTACTTTTGAAATACAAATAAAAAAAATATTAAAGATCTAATCTTTCTTCAGAAGTTGACTTTGGTTGTTTTTGAGTGTTCGAAGAAGAAGAGGAAGATTTAGTAAATGAAGAATCTTGAGGCATTTCAAGAGTAATTTGCCAATTTCTTTTAACAGGCTGCAAAACTCTGTGAATTGTCAAAACTTCATTTTCAAAATCGAAATCAAGATTTCCATTTGGAGCTTTAACAGATTTCGGCTTTGCCTTCAATCCCAACACTTTAATTCTCTCAACTTTCACATCGTATTCCTCAAAGAAATCATCTCTTGCCATCTTTGAATCTCTCACATTTGAAGCAATTATATGATTAGTGAAAGAATACTTCGCGTGAATGTAATCACCGGTTGCAAATGCTGTTGTCTGTTGGTCATCATCATACAATTCTCCAGATGCTTCTCCATTCTGATCCAAAGCAATGACTAATGTAATTGGATCGTGTCTCATCAAAAACGTTGTTCTTCTCTTCCAATTCTTCAATGGAACAATTGATCCTCCTCTCATCAAAACAGGGATTTCTGTTATTGGTGCCTCAACGAATGTCTTCTCGTGGTTGTCGCGCTCGCATTCCTTAAGACTGTTGAAATTGTACCATCGACCAAATGGCAAATCTATCGTCCTGTTGTAAACATTATCTTCCAAAATTGGTGCGACCAAGAAAGAAGGTCCAAGCATGAACATTGTCTCGATATCAGCGAATCTCCTGTCGTTAGGGAATTCCCACCAAACAGGTCTTGACAATGGTTCACCTGTCTTATTAGATTTGCGTGCCAAAGTGTACCAATATTGGAACATTTGATATCTGTCTGCGATTGATTTTCTTATTGATTCTCCGTGAACTCCCTTGATCTTGAATGGTTCTCTCTCCTGGCTCTCATGGTGTGAGTGTTCTCTGAAGAAAGGATAGCACCATGCGCCAAGCTGGAACCATCTAGCCAACAAGTTTTCTGATGGAGAATCAAAGAAACCGCCAACATCAGCACCGCAAAACGGCATTCCACTCAATCCTAAAGAAAGAACCATAGGAATTGATGCTCTCAAATGTGCCCAGTCAGCAGCATTGTCGCCTGTCCATGTAACAGCGTATTTCTGTGTACCAGCAAAGAAAGAACGTGTCAATACAAATGGTCTATCGTCTTCATCTGAGTCACGTTTCATCAAACCGCCGTAAGTAGCCAACGCCATCAAATGACCGTAAACATTGTGTACTTCTCTGTTCTCTATCTTCTTGTGGTGGATGACGTCCTTGGGAAGAGTCATGTCTGGCACATCGAACACTGCTGGCTCGTTCATGTCGTTCCAGATGTAAAGAGAAAGTGTTGATCCTTTGTAGTTCTCAAATTCAAAAAGTGTCTCCCACCAAACTCTCGCCCACGGATTTGTGAAGTCAACCCAGCTGCTGTCGCCCGGCCAACACTCGCCTTCGTAGTCGGAATCAAGACGTGTTTTTACGAAGAAGTGCTGGTTGAATGCTTGTTCGAAAATGTAGTAGCCCATGTCGATTCTAAGGTGTGGATCGCAGAGAGCAACAAACTTCCTTTCGAGATTATCGTAGTCGTCTTGTAGTTTTGCGAAATCTGCAAATTTGTATGGGTCGTAAGTGAAATACATTTTATCGTCTAAGTGGTCGAGGTCTAACCACATGGCGTCGACGGGGATGATGTTGGTATCGAGTCCGTTCAATACTTCTCGAACGTCTTTTGAGGATTTGTAGCCCCAACGAGATTGATGATATCCAAGAACAAATCCTTGGTGGAGAGGTGGTTTTCCGGTGAGCTGCGTGTACTTTTGGAGAATCTCACTGGCATGGCCACCTGTAAATACGAAGAAATCGATGTAGCCGCCTTCAGATAAAAATCTTGCGAAAGATCCTGTTCTTTCTTCACTTGTATCGATCCATGTTTCACTGGGATTGCACCAGAAGAGGCCTGTGGTCTTTTTGGAGTCCCTGGCAAGAAGGAATGGAATGGATCCGTACATAGCCATTGGATTTCCGATTTCGTAACGGTTAATGTCGACGTTGAAGAGTCTAATGGGATCTGTAACAGGATTGAATGTAATTTTGTTCTGACGACGTAGTCTGTGGGTTGTAAATGGAAGAGTTAAATTTAATGTATGTTCTGGAAGGCCATGGAAGCGTACATTGTCGCCAAGGAAGAGGAAATCCATGGCTACAGAAGTAGGACCGTTTGGTATTTTATCAATTGTTCCATCAAAGTCGGCAGCATGGAATAATGTTGGATTCTTGTTTCTATCTCTGTTATGCTCGAAAATTGCTGTATCATCTGGATTGATAACGAGTACTCTTCCCTTTGTTGTTGTTAATGTAGCTGTAAATGGCTTGATTGAGATGGTAATAGATTGATCTCCTTGATTAAGGAAGATATGAGTGTGATTTGTGGAATGTGAGTATGGTTTTGTGATGTTAAGCTCTGTTTTGTTGATAATGCTTGGCTCTCTCGCTGCATCATAGCGCTTAAATCGCTCGGTTTCGGAAGGCTCAATTCTAAAACGAATGCCTGTCTGTAAGAAATACACGAAAAGAACAAGTTGCTTGTCAGCACTATCATCTTGGATTAAACATTGAAAATAGTTTTTGTTATAATCGATTTCTTTATCAATAATAGACCAAAATTGCTTATCTGTTTCGCGATTTCTGTGGCAAAATGGAGATTGATCGCATTGTCTGTATTTTCCTTCGTCAACACATAATACGGAGGAGAATAAAAAGAAGAGAAAGCTAAACATTTTGGTCACGTAAACTTTAGATTATTATATTATTGATTTTAATGGACATAACGTATTTAATTATCCTTAAGAATTATATTTTTGTAATAAACAGAAATTCATCAAAAGTGACGGCTCTCAATTTTTTGACATTTGTAAATTCTAAATTGAATGAGAAAAATGAAATAATACTAAGCATAATACAATATTCTAGATTTAATTATAATTAGGAAAAAGTTAGTTTTGAGAGTACTTTTCATAGGCATATAGAATGAAATCTTCTGAAAAATAATATCACATAAACTCATATTCTTTTCTAATATATAACTATTTTATATAAAAATCAAATTCAATGATCTTAAAAGCGAAGGATAAACCTCAAAATTTACGAATATAATGAGTGGGAATATAATGCTTATCTATCATAAAACCATATGAAATATCAATTTTTGCTTTACGCCTAATTTTTGACGACAATTAGCAAAAAATGTTAAATGTTAACACTCAGTCCATTTGAATATGAAAAATAAAATTGACTTTGATTAAATGTTTTTATTTATCATGCAATTCTTCTTGCGACCAAAGATTTGAATAAAAGTTCAAAAAATAAGATAGCTTAAAAAATAATATACGGTAGTGTTTACTAATAGATGAATAGTATATAAATTCTATTAAAATGGATTTGATCAAAAAAAATATATAAAATTTGATCATAAATAAAATCGTTTTAAATTACTTCTTCATTTAAATTATAACAATTATTTTTGGTTTTATATTTTTTGGATCAAATCCATTTTAATAGAATTTATATACTATTCATCTATTAGTAAACACTACCGTATATTATTTTTTAAGGATACCCTTACATTGCGTAGTTAGAAAGAGAATATGATATTGTCATGATTGCTAAAGTTTTAGGCTCCAGAAATGAATATACATCAAACTGAAACAATTGATAAATTGAATGAACTTTTGAGAGGTTCTCAAATAAAAAAAATTATCTAATTTTTTACAATATTACTATTATTTTATCCACATATGTATATATATAATAATTTGAGAAAACTTTTAGGAAAAATAAGTTTAATAAAAATCTGAATTTTACTTGTTGTGGGATTGTTATTAATTGACACTCCAGACGTATTACTAATAGTTATGCGTATGCAATTAAAGTATTTCTGATGGACAAAATGTGAGATTTATATCAGATAATTCATTTCTACTATTAAATTATTCATTTATGAGTTTGCACTTATTCGCACTAAATAAATAACTATTAAAAATTGTTTTAATTAATTGACACCATATAATAGAGTGAATTTTGTTTGATCAAACAACAATAAATGATAGATATAAAGCCAAGAAACTTGCTATTAATATGCTCTACTTGCTATTTCAATGTAAGTATGATATTTTCTAAATGTTTCGTTCAGATAACTTAGATATATTAGTCAAAATTTGAAATTTTAATAGCACATATATTAAAAATAATTATTATTCATAAAAGATTAATGAAATAGTAAAAAAAATCAATCAAATTATAAAAAATACAACATTTAGAAGAATTCTTATTATCCTTCAAAAAGTCAGTATTTCTGCTGTAATTTTCTACAACATTGTAGTTATTGCACTTTGTCTATGGATTTGTATATATGTTATATATAAATTATATATCTAAACTGCCCATAAGTGCAATTTTTATATAAATTGTTTATTTCTTTAACAATTTCATATGAAATATGCTTTTTTAAGCGTATCAAAGCTGTGTTCTTAATGTGCATGGATATATCAAGAAAAATGTCGAAAAAAAATGTGAATTCACAAATTCACTGAATTTTCACCGTTTTTTTGAATTTTGCTACAGCACTAATATTAAATAATACTAAAATCTTCTGTCTTTGTAAAAGAATAAATTCTGACAAAAAGTGCTCGTTTAAATTTAATGATCATCTGTATGACTAAGTGGTAAAAAGTGTTTATGACCAAAAAAGGGTTACATGCTTAGTCTATTTTCTGACAGGATACTCTAGATTTACATGATCTCTATTTCATATCTCCGTTTTTAGATTCTTCGACAGATTTTATGATAGAAAACCAAGATTAACAAATTTCCGGCATGTTAATGAAGAAATCTGCAGCTACCCTCAATATTATTTCAATAATCAGTATCGTTTCTCTTACAATTTATTTTTTTCTCAATAATTTAACAAGAAATAACAATACACACTTGGTTTTACGTATAAAAGCTAAGTGTCGAACTTAATCAACTTTACTTACTTAGCAAATGAATATTTTTGTTGGTTGCGAGTTCTGAATGCTGAAGTTTTAGATTTCTCTATAAATGATATCATTGCACTTACAATGTTGTTCCAGCCTATCGCATAAATCATAGAAAATCCAAAAAAAAATAATATAAAGAAAATTCATGTCATGAAGTTCAAAAAATACCGTGTAACATTAAAATTTGTTATGCATAATACATTTTAGCTATTATTGATTTTTTTTAATTTTCGAGAAATTGAATGGTGAGTCCGATAGAGAAATTTTTAAAAATCCTAGTGCCTCATAGAAGTAATTTCCCTCGTCTCCCATACTTCCAAATGTATGCATATGACATAAACTTTTATGCATTACACAAGTGGCCAATAATATCTATAGAGTAAAAAATTAGAAATTTAATTTTTTTATATGATAGTTATATTTCAGATTTGCGAGCGTAACTTTTTTCTCCATGGCATACTTGTTTTAAGAGCAAATGATCAAAATCGTCCTTCAATTATTGAAGGAGCTGATATCTTTTGAAAATTGAATTGAAAGGGTATTCAATTTTCAAATTTCCTCTCAATTTTGGAAACATATCAACTCTATGAATTAACAATTATGTGCCTTCACAGTTTATCAGTCATATAAGGTGCTTATAAAGAAAAAAGTTACGCTCGCAAAATATGTTTTTATATAGATTTCACATAAAATAATTATGTAATTTCTAAAAAGAATATTTTTGTTCTTGAATATTAAAGTGTATTGTAGTTTAAAAAGTTTTAAATATGTTGCTAAAATTTCAGGTTTATAGCTCATGTCTAGCATGACTTCTTTGTATGCGCAAAAAATCTGACACGTAAGGGTATCCTTAAGCTATCTTATTTTTTGAACTTTTATTCAAATCTTTGGTCGCAAGAAGAATTGCATGATAAATAAAAACATTTAATCAAAGTCAATTTTATTTTTCATATTCAAATGGACTGAGTGTTAACATTTAACATTTTTTGCTAATGGCGTCAAAAATTTTCTCACTGGGTTTTCGTCTATCAATCCCAGCTCATTATATACGCAACCAATCAAAAATCTGATATGGGAGTCCAAGGCTAACTTTTTGTTGTCTACCTAATAAAAGAGGAAGCAGCATTAGTGAGAATAATCGCAAATATTCAATTTAAATTATCTTTTTATTCTTAATTTAAAGTGCCAAAAAGAATAAAAAACCTATTCTAAGGCATGTTGTTATGTAAATGAGACTAGACATCATATTTTATGTTATGAAAAAAAATATTTAGAATTTTAGAACAAAATAAATAGAAAAAATAGCATAACTTATGGATGTGCGTATATTAAATTTAATAAATTAAGAGAAATTATTTTTGGCGCCAAAAATTATTCGTTAACTCTCAAATTTTTCTGAGTCAATAAGCCGCCAAAAAAGTATCATTTTGTTTCGTTAGAGAAAGATGAATTGTCCATGTCATCCAATCGGGAACAAGGGGGATGGGGATTAGATGATAAAGAAGCAATTCATGCTCTCTATCTGAAGCAATCAGACTTACCAGCAACAATGTGAATCAGTCTTTCACTGAATGAGTAGGTGTTGGAAGAACTGTTCTCTAAAGCGATACAGTTGCGCTACATGTTCGTCAACTTGTCTAGAAATAAATATATCATTTGTTTTATACGTTTTTTCGTAATAAATCTATTTGTATTTGTTGTATTTGAGTATGAAGATAACAAAAACTACGGCATAAGACGCAGTACACTGGGCTTCGTTGCCATTTTATTTACCATGTTAAGAATAAACTTAACAGACATGCTTTGTTTTCGACGAAGCCATCTAAAATAACGTACATCTAAATAAAACTAAAAAACTGTAAAATTTCTTTATTTGATAGTATACTTCAAATTATGCACTATACCTTCTAGAATTCTATAACACTCTTTGCATATAATTTTTTTAAAAAAAAGTTATATCTCGACAAAAATATGATTTATCAATAGAGTATGTAAAATAAAACTCATTCGCAGTATTAAAAAATCGTAAATCTTTCCAAAAAATTTTGAATTACAAATTTTAAAACTTAAAACAACATTTTTTGAAGCGAAAAAACGAAATCTAATTTTTTTTGGAAAATTTAGAATAAATAGAGCTCTTTAACTCGTCGAATACAAATTGTTTTCAAGTTTTTTTCGACCGGAAATTGAACTTTTAGAGTTTATACAATAAGATTCACATGAAAAAATACGGGTTTAACAAAGAAATCACCAATATAAAGGTTTTTTAGTAGAACGAGATTGATAAAAACTATAGTATGATAAAAAGACGATAATTTTTTTGGCGGGATAATTGAAGAATATGAATGATTCGAATTACAGACATACTCTAGTCCGAAACTTACTATGGTTCGTGACTTATTTTTGACACAGAATAGCTGTAGACTAAGGCTTACTCTAGATCCAGACTTATTATACAATTAAATTTGCTTTTGGAATAAGACTTAATTTTAGTTACAAACTTATCTTAATATCAGACTTATATTTAGAATCAGACTTACTTTAGTCTAGAACTTACATTTAGAATCAGACTTCCATTTCAAGTCAGACTTACTTTCGTCCGAGACTTACATTTCAAGTCAGACTTACTTTCGTCCGAGACTTACATTTCAAGTCAGACTTACTTTCGTCCGAGACTAACATTTCAAGTCAGACTTACTTTCGTCCGAGACTTACATTTCAAGTCAGACTTACATTTCAAG